TATTATATTTTAATATTTTAATATTTTATAATTTTAATATTTTATAATTTTAATATTTATATAATATAATTTTTAATATTTAATATTTATTGATAATATAATATATATATATAAATTAATAATTATAATATAAATAATATAAATATAATATAAATATATAATTATTATCTATATTATATAATTATATATAATTATTATATATTATATTTACATATAACATATAATTATAATAATTAATGTGTGTATATTTGTGTGTTAATATAATTAAATAATAATAATTATAATTGATATAATTTGATAAATTACAATTGAATTTGATTTAATTTAATGATTATTTAAATATAATGATAATTAATTATTAAATTTATATATAATTTTAATTTATTATTATTAATATTAATATTATTTAACGATCATAGAAATTCCCCAACGATCACTGATGTTAGCCCAAAGACCAATAAGAATAGTTGGTGGAAAGGATTCAGAAAAAGGATTATATCCATGGCAATTGTCAATTCATTGGGGTGACCCATTACGTAAATTACCACCAAGACATATATGTGGTGGAAGTTTGTTAACAGCAGGCTGGGTATTGACAGCTGGACATTGTAAAACTTTGGCACCGAAAAGAGGAGAATTTCTTATATTAGCTGGTAAACATAAATTAGGTGTTTTAGAAGATACCGAACAAAGTAGAAAAGTTATTGAAACATTTGTCTATCCTTTATACAACGGGTGAGTTTATATTTCTTTTATTTTTTTTTTTTATTTTTTAATTAATTAATTGAAAATGTATGGGAATAATAATAACAATAAATTATTTAGATCCGTAGCACCGTACGATATAGCATTGATGAAGTTAGAATCACCATTTGAATTAAATCCATTCGTATCTACAGTTTTATTACCATATCCAGAAACCATTCCTGAAGGAGAAGCCATAATTACTGGATGGGGTAGCATAAGTAGAACTAAATTACCCAAAAATCCAGAAATTCTTCAATCAGCCATGTTACCTATTTTAGATTATGATTTGTGTAAACGTACCTTGGATAAAAGTTTACGTCACGAGGGTAGAAATCCATTACATTCTACGAATATTTGTACGGGACCATTGGATGGTAGTTTATCTGCTTGCAAGGTCTTATATATATATAATAATAATATAATATAATATAATATAATATAATATATATATATATAGAAAGGAATTATATATATATATAAATTTTTATCTTTTTTAATAAAATTTTATAATATAAAATAAATATATAAATTTATAATATATTTTTAAATATAAAATTACAATTTTATTATATAAATATATAATAAAAAATTCCTTTATACTATATTATATATACATAGAAATTTTACCAATTTATTTATTTATTGATATATTTATTTAACCATGAATTGATTTATTTACTTTAACAATTTTTTTTCTACATTTTGTTCCTTTCTTTCTTTTTTTTTTAGGGAGATTCAGGTGGACCATTGGTATCGTTAAACGCATTTGGTCAAGCAGAAATAATTGGAATAGTTTCATGGGGTCTATTTCCATGTGGTGGTAAAAATGCACCATCAGTTTACACCAGAGTATCCTCATACATCACATGGATCACTTGGTTAATGTTAAATCATTAAAAAATAATTCATTCGATTAATTTCAACGATGGAACAACAATTGTTAAAAGTTATGTTCTTGAAATTGTTTTTGTATTATAAATATTTTCATTAATTTTATAATTATTAATGTATAATATAAAATATCTTACTGATGTATAGATAAATAAACGTTTAATTAATTATTATTATTATTATTATTATTATTATTAGATTATATGGCATTTGTAGGTATTGACTTGTAACATAATTTTCTAATGGCAACTCTTTTTGCATATATCATATAAATACATATTTATATATACTATATATACTATAATACTTAAATATATAAAAAAAATAAAAAAATGTACATCACTTATTTTCCTTCTTAAAAGCAATACAAAATATTAACCCCTTAACGCACAATTTAAAAAAAAAAAAATAATAATTGTTTTTTATGTAAATAAACACAACTTAGAACATTGCCTTGGCAGAAAATTAACAAAATATAAAATTAATCAAAATTATTATAGCATATAATTATTATATAAAATTAATATATATATTATATTATATATAATTATGATATAGCATATAATAAATAATTATATAAAATTAATCCAAATTTTTACAGCAGCATAAAATACAACACCGCTCGAGTTAACTCAAACATTCAACTTAAGGGGTTAATTATAAATATAACTCGAATTGTATCGATAATTATGAAAGTATACTAATACCAACCCAAAAAAAAAAACAATTCATTTTATGATTCACACCATAAAACAATTAATTTCAATCTAAATTATATCACAAAATCAATTCTTTGTCTTTTTTCTTTTTCCTACGTTAAATCAACTTTCAATATTATCGAATACAAATATCAAGTATAGAAGTCTATTAACAAATAATTTATAAAGATTTGCAAGCTTCAGCGATAACCTGGACAGCAGCTAAAGCTTCTTTAGCAGTAGGAACAATATAACGTGCTGGTAAAACAAAACCATGAACCCCCGTATCTCTCAATTCGATGGTGTAAGAATATTTGATTTTTAACATTGCTTTAGCCCAATCATCTGAACCACCTGCTGCTGCATACAATGTTGTTGCACTGTTACCAACTGTATAAGAACTCGATGCAACGTCTGCTTTTTTCATGGCATTGGCAGCATAATGACCAATTCTGTCAAGATCAGCGTAATCTGGTGGGACTCGACGATCATAACCCCATGGATATAAGAAATATTGACCATAACTGTGGAACGTTAGGTATGCCTAAAAACAAACAAATGAAAATCAATTTTAATTTCAATTCATAAATTGACATAAAATATCAGAAACATTGAACACATTGAACATATTTTCTGTATGTAAATATATTGACCTTGAAATCAGCTGCACTGACTTCGAAGAAATTCCTAATGGCATTTGTTTCCGGTTCGGAGAATGCTGCAGAACCGGCAAAGATATCGCTGCATGGATTTTTACTTGTACCCAATCCACCCCATTTGTAACCAAAATTACGATTAAGGTCTACACCCACACATTTAGTACCAACAAAATTGCGTCGATTTTTTCTCCACAGACGATCATTCGTGAATGTGTACTCGTATCTGTTAGAAAAGAAATCAAACAATGTCGTTAATAATTAAGAAATAATTGTGTTACACAAACATTGAATTGTTCGAAATGTAATTTTGTTTTTTCTTGACACAATTTTTGAAATTAGTTAATGACAAATTGACAAATAACAATAAGTGAAATCGTTGACAGTTTAAAATTTAACAAATGTAATTATTTAAACTCACTCGAGAAATCCTATGTTTAATCTCGAAACAAAAATTGTCTTCATTTTTACAGAAACAAAATGAACATTACTTTCCGAACTACCCAATAGTAATCAATGTGTTTATATATACCCATCAGGATTGGCAACTGGAAGTATATAATAATCAGCTTCTAATGATTCACTATTTTCAACTAAATTTTCAATGATGTAAGTTACAGCAGCTGGTGAAATCCATTCTCTTGCATGAATACCACCATCTATCCATAAAGCTGGTACTCCTATTTTTCCATTACTAATTCTAAGAACCTAAACGGATCATTCAATTCAATTATATCAAATGAAAGAAATATTTTTTTTTGCATTTTATTTCTTTTAATGATAAAATGATGATGATGATGATGATGATACCTTTAAGGGTCTACCTTCAACAGAATTACCAATGTTCATGACTGAACAAACGTCTGGATAAGTTTGTGCCAAAAAATCGAGATATCCATAAATGTCATCTAATCGATGATAACTCGACCATTCCATTCTGTGACCTAATTGATCAAATCTTATGAATTATTTTATAATTTAATTAGAAATGACAAAGTGGTAATAAAACCACTCTATAGATTCAGAGCATGAAAAGCATTTTATTATAATCACGATGAATAAATTATTTAAAACAAAATATATATATATATATATATATAAAA